GAAGGAAATGCACCTCTTCTTGTTGTTTGCTAAACTTAATGCCCTTCATTTGTTCCAACATTTTCCTTCTAACCGTCTTTTAAGGCAGGTTAGAGAATGTCTAGGTTAGGAACACCAGTGTGTAGCATAGAGTTTAATACTTGTTCCTTCCGCCTTCAAGAAGCGAACAATGGAGTGTATCTGGTAGTTCTTGTAACCTTGTTCTGAAGGGCGGCTTAAGAAACTGTATATAGAAGAGGTTTAGAGGTGATAGTCTGGCTGGAAGACTGGCCTGGGTGGACTTTTCTTGTGGAAATATTGTTATTGTTTATACTTGGGGACTGATGGAATTTTGGGGGTATGAATCCTCCTTGTTCTTCCATGGTAGCCTTCTATCCTTGTTTATCCACCTCCATCCTTCCTTCCCTCCCTCCCTGTGCCACGCCTCCTGAGTGCTTCTGACTACAAATCATCACGGTCGACATGAACACCTGTCATCCCTTCTCTAACACGTACACACCGTGCTGTGTTGAACCATCACGGTCCACACGTACACCCACAACACCTCCACACACACATACACACGTGTCGAATCTCAGGTAAAAATTCTAGGATTCCACAAGGCTAAAAAAGTGTGCGTGATATATCTTGTATGAAGAAGACGTCAGTAGCTTCTCCATGACACACACTAGTGCCACAGTGTTAGTTTACATTTATAAACTAACACGAAATATATAAACGCGCAGAAACACGAGATATTAGTAATTCAGTCGTAAAAAAAAGCTGACTTGGCGTGTGACACAGATTAGAAGATATTCCCTCCTGCTCACTCCATCACAAATATACATACCATCTCACTCCATCACAAATATACATACCAGCTCACTCCATCACAAATATACATACCATCTCACTCCATCACAAGTATGCATGACGATGTTCACTCATAGGGTGAGTGGCTCCAGCTGACACTGTCCTTGCGGGGGTACGTTCCCTCCCATGAGTGCCACCGCTCAACAAACTCATCTTCGGGACATACGTTGAATTTTCTCAACTCATCTTCAGAACATGATTAGAATTTCAAAGTGACTTCGCTAACTTTCTAAATGATCTGAGTGTCAGTGTTGTGGTTCGGGCTGGTGTGTTGGTACACTTGTAGCAGTCAGAGGTACGTGTCAGACGCCGGAAGGTGTCAGGTGTGGGAAGGTGTCAGGTGTGCGGAGATGTCAGGTATGGGAGATGTCAGGTGTGGGGAAGTGTCAGGTGTGGGGAGGTATCAGGTGTGGTGAGATGTCAGGTATGGGAGATGTCAGGTGTGGGGAAGTGTCAGGTATCGGGATTTGTCAGGTGTGGGGAGATGTCAGGTATGGGAGATGTCAAGTGTGGGGAAGTGTCAGGTGCGGGGAAATGTCAGGTGTGGGGAGGTGTCAGGTGTGGGGAGATGTTAGGTATGAAAGATGTCAGGTGTGGAGACGTGTCAGGTGTGGGGAGATGTCAGGTGTGGGGAGGTATCAGGTGTTTACCTGGAGTTTACCTGGAGTTTACCTGGAGAGAGTTCTGGGGGTCAATGCCCCCGCGGCCCGGTCTGTGACCAGGCCTCCTGGTGGATCAGAGCCTGATCAACCAGGCTGTTACTGCTGGCTGCACCCAATCCAACGTACGAGCCACAGCCCGGCTGGTCAGGTACCGACTTTAGGTGCTTGTCCAGTGCCTGCTTGAAGACTGCCAGGGGTCTATTGGTAATCCCCCTTATGTATACTGGGAGGCAGTTGAACAGTCTCGGGCCCCTGACACTTATTGTATGGTCTCTTAACGTGCTAGTGACACCCCTGCTTTTCATTGGGGGGATGTTGCATCGTCTGCCAATCTTTTGCTTTCGTTGTGAGTGATTTTCGTGTGCAAGTTCGGTACTAGTCCCTCTAGGATTTTCCAGGTGTATATAATCATGTATCTCTCCCGCCTGCGTTCCAGGGAATACAGGTTCAGGAACTTCAAGCGCTCCCAGTAATTGAGGTGTTTTATCTCCGTTATGCGCGCCGTGAAGGTTCTCTGTACATTTTCTAGGTCAGCAATTTCACCTGCCTTGAAAGGTGCTGTTAGTGTGCAGCAATATTCCAGCCTAGATAGAACAAGTGACCTGAAGAGTGTCATCATGGGCTTGGCCTCTCTAGTTTTGAAGGTTCTCATTATCCATCCTGTCATTTTTCTAGCAGCTGCGATTGATACAATGTTATGGTCCTTGAAGGTGAGATCCTCCGACATGATCACTCCCAGGTCTTTGACGTTGGTTTTTCGCTCTATTTTGTGGCCAGAATTTGTTTTGTACTCTGATGAAGATTTAATTTCCTCGTGTTTACCATATCTGAGTAATTGAAATTTCTCATCGTTGAACTTCATATTGTTTTCTGCAGCCCACTGAAAGATTTGGTTGATGTCCGCCTGGAGCCTTGCAGTGTCTGCAATGGAAGACACTGTCATGCAGATTCGGGTGTCATCTACAAAGGAAGACACGGTGCTGTGGCTGACATCCTTGTCTATGTCAGATATGAGGATGAGGAACAAGATGGGAGCGAGTACTGTGCCTTGTGGAACAGAGCTTTTCACCGTAGCTGCCTCGGACTTTACTCTGTTGATCTATACTCTTTGTGTTCTGTTTGTGAGGAAATTATAGATCCATCGACCGACTTTTCCTGTTATTCCTTTAGCACGCATTTTGTGCGCTATTACGCCATGGTCACACTTGTCGAAGGCTTTTGCAAAGTCTGCATATATTACATCTGCATTCTTTTTGTCTTCTAGTGCATCTAGGACCTTGTCGTAGTGATCTAATAGTTGAGACAGACAGGAGCGACCTGTTCTAAACCCATGTTGCCCTGGGTTGTGTAACTGATGGGTTTCTAGATGGGTGGCGACCTTGCTTCTTAGGACCCTTTCAAAGATTTTTATGATATGGGATGTTAGTGTTATCGGTCTGTAGTTCTTTGCTGTTGCTTTACTGCCCCCTTTGTGGAGTGGGGCTATGTCTGTTGTTTTTAGTAACTGTGGGATGACCCCCGTATCCATGCTCCCTCTCCATAGGATGGTAAAAGCTCGTGATAGGGGCTTTTTGCAGTTCTTGATGAACACGGAGTTCCATGAGTCTGGCCCTGGGGCCCCTGGGGTGTGGTGAGATGTCAGGTATGGGAGATGTCAGGTGAGGGGAAGTGTCAGGTATGGGGATTTGTCAGGTGTGGGGAGATGTCAGATATGGGAGATGTCAGGTGAGGGGAAGTGTCAGGTATGGGGATTTGTCAGGTGTGGGGAGATGTCAGGTATGGGAGATGTCAGGTGAGGGGAAGTGTCAGGTATGGGGATTTGTCAGGTGTGGGGAGATGTCAGGTATGGGAGATGTCAGGTGTGGAGAAGTGTCAGGTGTGGGGAGATGTCAGGTGTGGGGAGGTGTCAGGTGTGGGGAGATGTCAGGTATGGGAGATGTCAGGTGTGGGGAAGTGTCAGGTGTGGGGAGATGTCAGCGTGGGGAGGTGTCAGGTGTGGGAGATGTATGTTAGGTATGGGAGATATCAGGTGTGGGGAAGTGTCAGGTGTGGGGAGATGTCAGGTGTGTGGAGATGTCAGGTGTGGGGAGTGTCATGTGTGGGGAGATGTCAGTGTGAGATGTCAGGTGTATGAGATGTCAGGTGTGGGGAGACGTCAGGTGTGGGGAGATGTCAGGTGTATGGCGATGTCAGGTGTGGGGAGGTGTCAGGTGTGGGGAGATGTTAGGTGTGGGAAGATGTTAGGTGTAGGGAGATGTCAGGTGTGGAGAGATGCCAGGTGTGGGGAGGTGTCAGGTGTGGGGAGATGCCAGGTGTGGAGAGATGCCAGGTGTGGGGAGGTGTCAGGTGTGGGGAGATGCCAGGTGTGGGGATGGTGTCAAGTGTGGGGTGGTGTCAGGTATGGGAAGTGTCAGGTGTATTATCTTCCTACGTAGATACCTTTCACAGACTTGCTTCAGATGTCTTGTGTTCACAATACAACCATGTGTGGTTGACGTGTCACAGTTGTTCTGACAGAACAAGGAACGCCTGCAGGAGACAGAACACAGTGTACCTCCAGGTGTGATGTAGTTCAGCTGGGCTTGTGAGGTCTCTGGGGAGACCTAATTTAACCAATTATATGCTCACACTTTGCCTTGGCAAATGTCTGTCAGAGCCACGCCTTTTCGGCTTAAGACTGAGGTCTTTTGTTCTGGACGGCGTCAGACCTCGGCGTTAGATCAACACCACGTGTACACACCTCATTGTGGGGGGTGCTCTCGGGACAATATAAGCCCAAGGAACAGCTGAGCAGGGAGATTCGAGCGGAGCTCTGGCCTGTGAGCAGAGCTGAGCTGGAGAGTCTCGGGAGGAGAGACTGTTGGAGACATTTGGCAGAGTACTGACTTAGAGCAGTACTCGTGCTGTGTAGGTCTTGGGACCTGTGGCTTAGTTCCTGTAGTGAACTGTCCTCTGTACTATATTGTAAGTTATATTCATTTTCGTCAAGTTGATTGTGTTCCCTGTCTCACTGCTTATATGTACCATCCCATTTATCTAAACCACAATAATGTTCTCCTGTTCCCAAATATATTATTGTACAAAGACTTAATAATAAACTGTGTTTGAGTAGAATAGTAATATTCACTGTCCCGGTTATTTATTCATTACTTTATTTCAGTTAAAGTAGTGAGAGGGTGAGTAACATGGAGTGGTGGGTAGAGTAATGAGATGTGAAGGTGTAGTTACCAGTGACCTCACATTACCTACCTCCGCACTCATCCCTCCTACTGCCTCGCCTGTCCCCTACCTACTGACTCCCTCCTCTTACCCCCATATTCCCCTAATCATTACCCCCCCTACATGACAAAGGAAAACCACCACTCCAGAACACAAAACACAATAAAAACACTCTTGTATTGAGAATGAAAAGAGGTTGTGTTAGAATTTCGACTTGTGTTAGTCAGGAAGTCAATTTTCCTCTGCATTTAAGATTTAACATTTCAGGAATGTTGGAGGTATGTGGGTGCCAGCATGGTGCTGCTGCATTGATGGGCGTGATGGTGGGCGTGTTGGTGGGCGTGTGTGTGGCAGAGGGTGGCGGCCAGGCCTATGTGCTGGGTGAGGCTGGTACTCGCGGACAGTCAGTTATTACAACCATCCCGACCTCCTCCCTTACCCTGTGTGCTGCTGCATGTCTTACTGGTGAGTCTTACTGTCGTGCGGGGTTCGAACATGGACTGGGTAATAAACACTCACATCGGATGTTCCAGTATGTCTATTTGATGAAATGTATGGGGAGCGCCAAGCCTGACCTGCCGTCTGCCCTAACGTCTCTACTTAAACTGGCTTGCTGAGTGCCTCGGAGGATGAGCAGTGGTCAGTGGTCAGTCGTCACGTGAGGTCACAGACCCTGAGCTGCTTTGGGGATTAGCGTGGACGGTTACAAAGCATGGCTTGCTTCTGCAGTGTTTTAAAAATTGAAGTTGGAGAGTTGAAGGAGGAGGTCTTGCTTCTCCAGGAGGAGATTAGGAGGCTGAAGGTCCACCTCAATGGGTCTGGGAGAGAGTGTGAGGTGGCTGGAGTTGTGGGGAATGAGGCTTCTAGCAGTGAGGTGCAGTCTGTCTCTCGCTGTGAGGAGGCTGTAGTTGGGGAGGTAGCAACGGCTACCAGCAGTGAGGTGCAGCCCAGCACCTGCTACAAGTGGCAAGTGGTTCACAGTAATAGGAGGCGCATCAGAGTAAGGAAAGTTAAGAGTGAAGATCTGAAGGTAGGAAATCGCTTCTCTGTTCTTCAGGATGAATGTACTTCAGTGGCCAGTGAAGGTAAGGGTACTACTGCCCCTGCTAATGGAGGCAAACGCATTCTTGTGGTTAGTGACTCTCAGGTAAGATATATTGACCGTGTTTTTTGTAATAGGAATAAGAAGATGAGAGATAGAGTGTGCTTCCCTGGAGCTGGTGTTGGGGACATTGTCAACAGGCTGGATAATATCATGTCAGGTAATGGGAACAAGCCCATTATCTGTCTCAGTGCTGGTGAAAATGATATTGGGAAGGGTAGGAGAGAAGAGCTGCTAGATAAGTACAGGTCAGCTATAGATTTCATTAAGTCTAAGGGAGGGATCCCAATCATATGTAGCATCTTGCCTAGAAGGGGAGTAGGAAATGAATGGTTGTCTAGGGCAATTGGTGTAAATTGCTGGCTAGACAGATACTGCAAGGAACTTGCAATCCATTCATTGACAACTGGAACAACTTTTATGGCAAATGATATGTATGCAAGGGATGGGGTACATCTCTCTGGGGCAGGGGTGGTAGCACTTGCAGACTCGATTGAGAAGGCCATTGGTGAAATGCCTATGATTTTAAATGATGGAAGATAGAGGTATGGGTGTGTGTGGGAAACAAGCAGGTTGCAACACTAGGGTTGGAAACAGTAAATGTATAAAAGGCATTCAGCATGAAGTTATAAATAAAGACAATAGATCAGGTCAGCAAACAAAGGGGGACAGCAGAGGGCAGCAAGGGACTAGCTCCCTTAAGGTTTACTATACTAATAGCAGGAGTGTAAGAAATAAGATAGATGAGCTAAGATTAATTGCAAGTGCAGGAAACATAGATATTATTGCATAACAGAGCCCTGGCTCAATCTAAAAGATAGAGAGATGCCCTCTGAATGTCACATACAAGGCTATAAATTATTCCACACTGACAGGATCAACAGGAAAGGTGGTGGAGTAGCGTTGTATGTCAGAGACAATTTAAATTTTTTGTGTTAGACAAGATATTAAATTAGAAGCGGGCAGCCACTGAATCTGTTTGGTTACAGCTTCTCGAGGGCCGAAAAAAACTAATTTTGGGTGTGATTTACAGGGCCCCAAATCTTGATAGGGAGTGCAGTAAACTTCTATGGGACGAAATTCGTAAGGCATCTACATACGAAATGTTGTGCTAATGGGAGATTCAACTATAGACAGATTGACTGGAGCAATTTGACAGGAAATTTAGAGTCAGGTGACTTTCTTGATACGATCCAGGATTGTTTTTTAAAACAGTTTGTGACAGAGCCAACTAGGGAAAATAACCTCCTTGACTTGGTTCTTGCCAGTAGGGAAACACTAATTAATAATCTTAGGTTAATGATGAGCTTGGGGAAAGTGATCACAATCACTCAGTTTTAATATATCATGGAATTCCCCTAATAATGGCAATCAAGTCTCCCGTCCTGACTTTCGCTTGGCTGATTTTCATAGGACTGAAAAATTACTTAGGTGGGCTGAACTGGAATGACCTGACTAAGGTCAGGTAGGTGGTGATGGTTTGCCGATATGATGCTTTCCAGGGCATAGTTCTAGCTGCTCAGTCAAATTATGTTCCAAATAGGGAAATCAATCAAACAAAAATGTTCCTAAATGGATGAACAATAGATTAAAATATCGATTGGTCAAAAGAGAGGCATTATAGGCAAATCAAAAGAGGAGAGGGGCAATTAAGAATCGATATATTCAGTTAAAGAGAGAAATAAAAAAGGGAATTAGAAAAGCAAAAAGAGATTATGAGGTTAAAGTTGCAAGAGAATCGAAGACTAACCCAAAAGGATTCTTTCAGGTATAACAGAAGTAAGATCAGGGACAAGATAGCCCACTCAAAAGTTCCTCGGGTCAGCTCACTGACAGTGATAAGGAAATGTGTAGAATTTTTAACACATACTTCCTCTCAGTTTTTTACACAGGAGATACCAGCGATATTCCAGTAATGATAAATTATGTAGAACAGGACGATAATAAACTGTGCACGATTAGGGTCACAAGTGACATGGTCCTTAGGCAAACAGATAAATAAAACCTAACAAATCCCCAGGCCCTGATGAACTGTATGCAAGGGTTCTAAAGGAATGTAAAGAGGAGCTTAGCACACCTTTGGCTAATCTTTTCAACATATCACTACAAACTGGCATGGTGCCAGATAAGTGGAAAATGGCAAATGCGATACCTATTTTCAAAACAGGTGACAGGTCCTTAGCTTCGAACTATAGACCAATAAGCCTAACCTCCATAGTGGGAAAATTTATGGAATCAATAATTGCCGAGCAGTTCGTAGCCACCTTGAAAAGCATAAATTAATTCAACGAATCTCAGCATGGTTTTACAAAGGGGCGTTCCTGCCTTACGAATTTATTAACTTTTTTCACTAAGGTACTTGAGGAGTAGATCATGGTAATGAATATGATATTGTGTATATGGACTTCAGTAAGGCTTTTGACAGGGTCCCACATCAGAGACTATTGAGGAAAATTAAAACACATGGAATAGGAGGAGAAATTTTTCCTGGATAGAGGCATGGTTGACAAATAGGCAGCAGAGAGTTTGCATAAATGGGGAGAAATCAGAGTGGGGAAGCGTCACGAGCGGTGTTCCACAGGGGTCAGTGTTGGGCCCCTGCTGTTCACAATCTACATAAACGACATAGATGAGGGCATAAAGAGCGACATCGGCAAGTTTGCCGATGACACCAAAATAGGCCGTCGAATTCATTCTGACGAGGACTTTCGAGCACTCCAGGAAGATTTAAATAGACTGATGCAGTGGTCGGAAAAAGGCAGATGCAGTTTAATATAACAAATCAAATTCAAAATGGGGCCCGGGGACAATAACCATGCCACATAAAACAAAAAAATGTGATTTTAAATTAGGGATTGCAAAAAAGATTTAGGAGTTCGGTTAGCGTAATCTAAACCAAGACAACGTGCATAAGTGTTCGAAATAAAGCAAATAGAACCCTTTGGGCTTCATTCAAAAGAAAAAATTTAAAAGGAGTCCCGGGTTGTTCTTCAACTTATACCCCTTGGGTTGGGCCTCATTAGATTAGCTGCACGTTTTGGTCCCGATTACAGAATATTAAAATTCTCTGGAAAATTACAAAGGAGGATGACAAAGTTGATCCCATGTATCAAAACCTTCCCTTGGGAAGAAAAGGGGCCCAAAATCTCACTCTTAAAAGAGTAGAATTAGGGGGGTTTTAAATTGAGGTTTTAAAAATGGAAGACGGGAATAAAAAAAGGGGGTTAAATGTGAGCTGAAAATACTACCTAGACGGGACCGCGCAATTTTTTAAATTTGGAAAAAATTTAAATTTCAAAAGGGATATGGAAAGTACTGGTTGGAAAAAAGTTGTGGATGAGGGGAAACCCAACTCCCGAGTACAGTTATAGGGGCCCAGAACTTTGTGAAGTTTTTAAAAATGGGTTTGGGGAAAAATATAGATGGATGTGGGGGGGTGTGAGTTGGCCCTGATTGCTTGTGACCAGGTCGGTTCCCGTGTTCCTCCCTTAAGTCAAGGGTGACCTGACCTGACGGGGGGTGCTTTGGGGTTTAACCCGGGTAGGAGACTTGGCCCTCCCTCGCAGGGGCCCATAGGCCTTTCTCATGTTCCTTCTTCTTAGTTTTATTTTCCTTAAATATACTAGGCAGCGTAAGGGCAGTGAATAACATCAGTGATTACACAAGGGAGTGAAACAGTAACGGTTGGGGAGTCATTATGACACTACGGTAAATGATACTATGGGAACTGATAACGGGAATGATACTGCTGGTAACTGATCTATGGTAACTGATACTACTGGTAACGAACTAGGTAATGATACTACGTAACGAATTACCGGGAACAATACACTGGTAATGATTACGGAACTGTACTACTCGAAATTATGCATGTAATGAACTACTGGTAAATGATATTTCTGGTAACTATAATATTGGTAAATGTTCACTGGCAACGATATACTGGTAACTGATACTACGGTAACTGTACACTGGTAATTGATGCACGGAACTGATAACGGGAAGATAACTGGTGACTATACTACTGTTAACTATGCTACTGGGAACTATACTACTGGTAACTGATACTACTGGTAACTGATACTACTGGTAACTGATACTACTGGTAACTGATGCTACTGGTAACTGATGCTACTGGTAACTGATACTACTGGTAACTGATACTACTGGTAACTGATGCTACTGGTAACTGATACTACTGGTAACTGATACTACTGGTAACTGATACTACTGGTAACTGATACTACTCGTAACTGATGCTACTGGTAACTGATACTAATGGTAACTGATACTACTGGTAACTGATACTACTGGTAACTGATACTACTGGTAACTGATGCTACTGGTAACTGATACTACTGGT